CGAACAAACAAAGCTAATCTTTTTCGGCGTCAAAAACCTCGTACATTTTTGAGCGAAACGCCAGCACCTTAGAGTTCATAAAAGGTGTTGGTTCATTTAGACAGCAGGACGGTGGATAATCTGCGACATGCGACGCTTCAAATCTTAAAAAATCTAACACCCTAAAGGTTTCATTGGTTAAACATCTGGGAGCTTTTGGCGTGACGAAGAGCGGAAGACGAAGTAGGAGCAAATTTCAAGAATTTGGGTAGACTAGATGTGTCGCGAGCGTTTCTTTGCTCTGAAGATAAAAAACTTGCTTCGGAAGGAAGCACAAAGCGTTGCTCATGGTTCTTGCCGACGTTTTAAGCAAATCTAATTTGTTACTCCACCCAACTCACAGAAATACAGGGATACTTGGAATAAATGGCTGAGTGTGATGTATCTCAACCCGTTTTGGCAATACTGACAGGCAACTATAGCAGGCAAAAGGAATTGGTAAGGAAGGTGCGAAATCGAAATCCATAGCCTATCATTCAATGAGATCCCGACATCAAACGATATCTGCTAGCTATGTGGTTTGAGCTCATCCTCCTCACGTACATATCCATCACTGATAATTGATGAAAATGTATCAGAAGAGGTTGAAATGCTGTAAAGTTCTTTGGTCCATCGGCGAATCTTTGCTGATCTAGTAGCAATCATAAAAGATCTACTGTTTGTTTCTTTCATACCCCAGTACAAACGCTTTTTCCTTCTCCCACATCGATCACTTCAAAATTTAAGAAATTCGTCCTTTTCTCTATGCCCCTCACCATCATATCACTTGAGACCGGTTTGTACGAATCTTCGCGCGTGAATAGACACAAATGTGCAATACCCTCGTAAATTGGGCGTTCCAAGCATTAGATGAGCTGAAGCGACAAATTTCGCGGGTCATCGAATCATCTTACTAGGCAAATTTGGTGCGCTCTAGGTTTCTTTGTCTGTCTGCCGAGGGAGGCAAAAATTGGTAGACTATGTCCAGGCACTAAGGAATACTTTTACCAAAACGACATCTGGCCCTTTCACGGAAGCAACATCTTCATTGAGGGTCG